CCCCAAAACCCCAAAACCCCAAAACCCCAAAACCCCTATATCAAAAAAGATTCTTGAAATTTTAAGAAAATAGGGTAATATAAATAAATGAAAATTTTAGTTCTGACCCTATGAATGATGTCTCTCAGCCTTTGAGCGGAGATGCTGTTCAGTAATAAAGAAGCAGTTGCCTGTGTAGATAATCCAGCAAAGAAACTTTGTTTGAGTACGAACAAAGCAGATAAATATTGCTGAGAGATAAATGAATTCAACAATAATTGTGGGGAAGCTTACAATGGAGTCTGAAGTGATCGCCTTGAACCACTCGGAGGAAATGCTAAATATCTCCTAGCTTCCTTCGCTAACGACTGTGGTACTTACTTCTACTACGTAAAGCCCTCAAACTCCTCAAGTCCCCCTCTCTACACTGAAACACGTACGATCCCTCAAGGCCAAAGCTGTATATTCAGGATCAGGAATGACAACTGGGACAGTCACAGCCTGAAGTTTCAGCTAGGCACACAGATCAATGTGGATGCATACGTGTATGAGCTGAAGGGAGAACCTCAAGATTATGATGAGAATAGCTTTGAAGTTAGAGGTGAATTACTGCCATATGGGCGGTATGAAGATGAGATTAACATTGAAGCTTTTAAATTTGCTTATGTTGTGGTTACTCCTAATAACAATAATGGAGATTTGGATACTGCTGGAGATGGTATTTTTGGTACGATAGTATCATCCGTTGATGAAAATGTGGATCCTTATGACCCAGATGATTATCATGGCATGGCAATTGGTGCTATTCTTGGAATCGTCTTTGGTTCTCTTATCTTTGTCATACTCATGTTGTCTATCCTGATCTGAATCTGTAAAAAATGTAGATCAAAACCATCCCAAAGATGTCCTCAAGAAGAAGCCAGATACAGAATGATCACAGAAGAATCACCTCACAATCTTCAAATCAACACAGCTCCACCTCCAAGACCACACCCTCAAAACGTCCAATATGGTATCCAAAACCCATACCCTCAACAAATCCCCACTGCCCACCCAATCCAACCTCCTCAACCCTCCACAGGAATGGTCACTTACCCTTCATCCTATCACCCAGCTGCACCAGTCAAAAGCTCTAAAGCCTAATATCTATATCCTAAAATCTTTTTCTACTTCCTCTTCATTTCCCTTCAAATTTCCTAAACTACCTCCCTTCTCACCAGGAATCCCTAGTACCTTCGACCAGCTTCTAAATCAACAATGAGTTCTGACTCCAAGGGGTTTTGGGGTTTTGGGGTTTTGGGGTTTTGGGGTTTTGGGG